GTACAATGGTTATCCAAAATCTTTCAGAATGTATGAAAGCTGATGCTTCAAAATTAGACATGAGGGGTCCATGGATGGCTCAGTGGGTTAAGTGTCCGACTATTCACCTCCGGTCATGATCTCAGAGTTGTGAGATGGAGCTCTGTGTTGGGATCCGTGCTGGATGTGGAGCCTGCTTAAGATTCTCTCTTGGGAATCCCTGGGTGGCTCAGTGGTTTAACACCTGCCTTTGGCCCAGGGTGTGATCCTGGAGTCCCAGGATTGAGTTACACATTGGGTTCCCTGCATGGACCCTGCTTCTCCCTCTGCCTGTGTCTCTGCCTCTCTGTGTGTCTCATGAATAAATAAAATTTTTATTTTATTATTTTTTTAAAGATTTTATTTATTAATTCATAGAGCCTCATAGAGGCACACACACACACACACACAGCAGAGAGAGAGAGAGAGAGAGAGAGAGAGAGAGAGAGGCAGAGACACAGGCAGAGGGAGAAGCGGGCTCCATGTAAGGAGTCCGATGTGGGACTCGATCCTGGGTCTCCAGGATCACACTCTGGGCTGCAGGCGGTGCCAAACTGCTATGCCACTGGGGCTGCCCATAAATAAAATCTTTAAAAAATAAGAAAAAAAGATTCTCTCCTTCTCTCTCTGCCACTCTTCCCCCCGTCTAAAAAAATAAAAAAATTAGACATTAAATGAATTTAGACAGTATTTGTTACTGGTTTACAAATAGATTACTATTAGCAGTGTTTATATACACAGTTATATACACAATATAAACAGTTATTGTGTTTCTCATTTTAAAAAGCCTACTGGATACAGAGTCGAATACTTTTTAATGAGTACTCCCTTATTTGCCAGTGATAGGAAACCAATGTGTTCGCTTAAGCACATGGGGAATAGTTTTGTTTTCTGTAGCTAGAAAACTGAAGGATATTCTCCCCCAAGGCGTCAATAATTATCAGTACTTTTTTTTTTTAAGATTTTATTTATTTATTAGAGACACAGAGAGAGAGAGAGGCAGAGAGACACAGGCAGAGGGAGAAGCAGGCCTCCATGTAGGGAGCCCGATGTGGGACTCGATCCCAGGTCTCCAGGATCACACCCTGGGCTGAAGGAAGGCAATGCTAAACCCCTGAGCCACCGGGGCTGCCCGAATTATCAGTACTTATATCTTACTTCTGCTTCTGTTCATCATCCTTATTCCCTTCTTCCACGAGGGAAGCAGAGATGGTTTAGTTCTGGACAGCTCTGGCCTCCTGCATGGGAAGAAAGGGCTTGAGAGAACTCTCACTTAACATCTGAATATAAAGTCCCAGGCAAAGAGTCTCACTGGCCTGCCTTGGGTCGTATCTTCATGCTATTGATGAGAAGATGGACTATAGTGTGATTGGGGGCCGTATCAGAATCACTTATATCCCTCATAGGGATATAAGGATTCCTTATAGGGAAAGGAAATTCTCTATAAGAAATGATGCTGGGTAAATACTAATAAAATAAATATGTCAAATTCTCTTTAGCATAAGAGTTGGGTGTTCTCCTGGGGAGATGGAGTAGATACCATGAAAAGATAATTATAATATGAACAAACATGGTTTGAAGAAGGCTACAGGAATTCAGAAGAGCCTGAGGAGGTTAGAATCAGCTTTTGAAGGAAATGGTAACATACAGAGTTAAATCTCAAGGTGATGGTGGTCTGTTCTACACCTGTTGATTTCTTTCTTCATGAGGTCCCTTGTGTCTATCTTGGTGGTGTTCTCAGCCAGACTCTGAATCTATGTCTTCATCTGTGGTTAATTGCAGAAGATGCCCTGCCTCTGCTCTGTTCCCCCTGTCCTTTTTATTCTATATAGTGAAGCCAGAGACGTCTCTCTGGAACATTATTCTCTTGTCTGTGCCCTGCTTAGAAAACCTGTAGCAACCCTCATTACTGCCAGTATAAAGTACTGTACAGACTCCTAAGCCTAACATTTAAGGTCGTCTACATTCTTGGGGTCCTCAAACCGCTTTCCCACCCAGCCTTTCCTTCTGTGATTTTTTACTTGAATGCTCCTTGACAGCTTTTTGCATAAACATCTGAGAAGAATGCAAGAACTGTTTCTATAAGCGGGTTGGTCTCCTCTGCTGACTTGTGTTTCTTCTCTTATTCAAGGGAAGTTGAAGTTAGATCTTCCCTTTTACTACTTTCTCGTTTATATTTATGCAGATGAGTCCCAAGTAATTTCCAGGATACCGTAATATAGACTGGAGTACCCATCATGATGCTTACTATCATGATGATTCTATGATTTAATTGAATCTGTGAAAACTGGATTTGTGCAGATGGTGTCACTTTTGTGAGTTGTAGGCTCCTTTCTCAAGATATAGATTTACCAGCAGTGACTGGCCCAGGTGATCCCGTGGACTTTTTTCTGCAGAAAGTAATGGATATATTTTTAGTTGGAAAATCTTTTTGGTGAATGAAGATTTGGGTGTGAATTGTGTAAGTTAAAATACCTTGCCTGTGTGTGTGTGTGTGTGTGTGTGTGTGTGTGTGTGTATAATTTTTTTTAAAATATTTTATTTATTTATTCTTGAGAGACAGAGAGGCAGAGACACCGACAGAGGGAGAAGCAGGCTCCCTGCAGGAATTCCGATGCCGGACTCGATCCCGGGACTCCGGGTTCACACCCTGAGCCAAAGGCAGATGTTCAACCTCTGAGCCACCCAGGCATCCCAGCCCTTTTATATTTTTAAGCATACTTTTTTCTCCTGATACCATATGCACCCTTTTAGTTTGCAGATAATGAGACTAAGCTAGAAATGAGGAGGGCTAAGGAATGAGGGAGGGAGCAGGCAGTTAAGAGTTTACCAGTAACCCAGAATCATGGTTGATAAAAGTTAATTATACAGAAGTGAATTTAGTGTTAATTGATCTTGTTAGAATTATTTCCTATATTTAAAAAACATACATCTCCTATTCTGTAAATATCATTGGAAAGTGGGATCCCTGGGTGGCGCAGCGGTTTGGCGCCTGCCTTTGGCCCAGGGCGCGATCCTGGAGACCCGGGATCGAATCCCACGTCGGGCTCCCGGTGCATGGAGCCTGCTTCTCCCTCTGCCTATGTCTCTGCCTCTCTCTCTCTCACTGTGTGCCTATCATAAATAAATAAATAAAAAATTAAAAAAAATATCATTGGAAAGTATGAGAATAATAATAGTAATACAGGCATAACAGTTTAGGAGAAACGTGTTTCTTTTAACAAGTTTTCTTATTTATATAGCAGGGCTTATTAAAATACCTCATAGATTAAGAATTATTTTTTTTTAAGATTTTTTTTTAAGATTTTATTTATTTATTCATGAGAGACACAGAGAGAGAGAGAGGCAGAGACACAGGCAGAGGGAGAAGCAGGCTCCATGCAGGGAGCCTGACGTGGGACTCGATCCCAGGTCTCCAGGATCACACCCTGAGCTGCAGGCGGCGCTAAACCGCTGCACCACGGGGGCTGCCCAAGAATTATTATTTTTAAAGATTCTATTTATTCATGAGAGACACAGAGATATAGGCAGAGGGAGAAGCAGGCTCCCTGTGGAGCCCAATGCAGGACTCCCACAACTCTGGGATCAGGACCTGAGGCCAAAGGCAGACAGCCGCTCAACCACTGAGCCACCCAGGCATCCCAACTCACAGAATTAAGTAAGATCTTTATGCTTGGTACAGACCAGGGTCTCAAGTTTGCTATATATTGATACATTTATATACATACATATATTCCTGGACATCACATCTTATAAATTGGGGAACAGGTGCTTGAAGTGGTTCAACTGACAACTAAAAAACACACACAGTCTTGTGTGTTTCCTCCCTGAGCCTCCCTTTTTCCTTCTCCCAGCACTGGGACTCTCCTCCTCTCTTATTTCCTCTTTCTTTTCTGTCTCAGCCCTAACTTTGTGCTTCACTGTGGAACCCCCCCCCCCCCATGTGGCTCTCAGGAAGCATTTCTAGCAGAGGAAAATGGGTGCTTCACCAGAGAACTTCCTGTCCAGTGTTGAGAGGCATTTCTGTATCGCAGCAGACACAGGATGGGCTCTTTTGTGTCTTTTTTCTTACACGGGGATTTTTTTTCACATTTATGTTCTTCTCAGAGCTTTCTTTTTTCCTTTTTTTTTTTTTTTTTTTAATATTTTACTTATTTATTCAGGAGAGAGAGAAGGCAGAGACATAGGCAGAGGGAGAAGCAGGCTTCTCCCAGGGAGTCTGATGTGGGACTTGATCCCGAAACTCCTGGATCATGCCCTGAGCTGACGGCCGACTCAACTGCTGAGCCACCCAGGCGTCCCTTTTCAGAGGTTTAATTAATGCAGGTTTTTTTTTTTTTTAAATCATGGTTGCCTCTACACCATTTATCCCCTGTAGATAATTCAGAGCTAATTATAATTGAAAATTTTTTACTTGTAGTTTTTAGTATAATGGAGAAACTTTGAATTTAGATTTTCTTTATTGACTTAAAAATTAAAGCTAAATCATTACTTATTGGTATTATTTTAACTTGATAGTTATTAGAAAAATAGAAGTATGCTTATCTGGTTTTTGAGGTATGTGTCCCAATAGGAAAAGCTAGAAAACCCTCAGTTTTTGGAAATGATGTACTGATTTGTGGGGTGCCTGGCTAGCTCAGTTGGAGGAGCATGTGACTCTTGATCTTGGGAGTCGAGAGTTCGAGCCCCATATTGGGTGTAGAGATTGCTTAACTAAATAAATTTTCTTTTTTTAAAAAAAGATGAGTGATCCCTGGGTGGCGCAGCGGTTTAGTGCCTGCCTTTGGCCCAGGGCGCGATCCTGGAGACCCGGGATCGAATCCCATGTCGGGCTCCCGGTGCATGGAGCCTGCTTCTCCCTCTGCCTATGTCTCTGCCTCTCTCTCTCACTGTGTGCCTATCATAAATAAATAAAATAAAAATAAAAAATTAAAAAAAAGATGATGTACTGATTTGTAATTATGTCATTTCTTCCTTTATAGGTAGGCGAAAACCAAGGGTACATCGGCCTCGTTCTCCGATATTGGAAGAAAAAGACATCCCACCCCTTGAATTTCCCAAGTCCTCTGAGGATTTAATGGTGCCTAATGAGCATATAATGAATGTTATTGCCATTTATGAGGTACTGCGGAACTTTGGCACTGTTTTAAGGCTATCTCCTTTTCGCTTTGAGGACTTCTGTGCAGCTCTGGTGAGTCAAGAGCAGTGCACACTTATGGCAGAGATGCACGTTGTGCTTTTGAAAGCAGTTTTGCGTGAAGAAGACACTTCCAATACTACCTTTGGACCTGCTGATCTGAAAGATAGCGTTAATTCCACGCTGTATTTCATAGATGGGATGACGTGGCCAGAGGTGCTGCGGGTGTACTGTGAGAGTGATAAGGAGTACCATCACGTTCTTCCTTACCAAGAAGCAGAGGACTATCCCTATGGACCAGTAGAGAACAAAATCAAAGTTCTGCAGTTCTTAGTTGACCAGTTTCTTACCACAAATATTGCTCGTGAGGAATTGATGTCTGAAGGGGTGATCCAATATGATGACCATTGTCGGGTTTGTCACAAACTTGGGGATTTGCTTTGCTGTGAGACGTGTTCAGCAGTATACCATTTGGAATGTGTGAAACCACCTCTTGAGGAGGTTCCGGAGGATGAATGGCAGTGTGAGGTCTGTGTAGCACATAAGGTGCCTGGTGTAACTGACTGTGTTGCTGAAATCCAAAAAAACAAACCATATATTCGACATGAACCTATTGGATATGACAGGAGTCGGAGGAAATACTGGTTCTTAAACCGAAGACTCATTATGTAAGTAAATCGGTCTTAATTTTTGTGTGTATTTAATATTAAGCCAGTTTCCATCATGACTGATATAACAGCTATGCTACTGCTGTAATAGTAAACTTTTGTGATTTAATGAGTTATATAGTTATTTCCAACTTGAAGGAATATGTACATTAACAGTTTCTTAAATTACAAAGAAAGAAAAATGTATAGAAAAACACAGATTGCACACAGTGTATTACTTGCCTGGGGTAGGAATTAGAATGTTACAAGGCATATGCCACTGTGGGCCTTTCCCTGGTTATGTTCCCTACAGCCTGCCCTGAGGTAATCTTCACCTCAGTTTTGGTGTTAGGATTTTCTTGTTTCTCTTTTTAGTTTTGTTATGTCTATACGTAAAATGGACTGGCAAGAATAAACTAGTTGTCTTATGAAAGGTCAGTTTTGTCATTATTTGTTGTAGTCTTGCAGGAGAAGATGAGCTCAGCAGACTCAGTCATAGTCTGGCTTCTGCTTTTCTGAGGGTTTTCAAGAGGCTCTTCCAGGCAGGTCAGTGGGAAGGTCAGGAGGCAATCTGGAAAAGCACAGAGTATTTACCTCAGTCAGATGTTGGGCAGGGTTGTAGTGTGGACTTGGTTTTGACATCTTGTAGAAATATGATCAGAGGGAGTGGGCTTCTCTGTATTTTTAGCTTCTGAAGTCTTCAAAGCCTTCTTTCATCTCTCGGAATTAGGTCAAATCAGAAAATCTCTGGTGGGATGAAATGAAACATCAGAGCAAGGCATGGAGAAGAGACCAGGAACTTCATCAGTACCTGGGCAAGCCATGCTAGGGAGAGAGAAGAATCTTACTCGGGCTCACCTTTTTTTTTTTTTTTCCTTAAGACTTTATTTATTCATGAGAGACACACAGAGAGAGGCAGAGAGACAACACAGGCAGAGGGAGAAGCAGGCTCCACCCAGGGAGCCCGATGTGGGACTCAATCCTGGGACTCCAGGATCATGCCCTGGGATAAAGGCCAGGTGCTAAACCGCTGAGGCACCTGGGCTGCCACTTGGGCTCACCTTTTGATTATAAAAATGGTACAACAGAGATCCTCAGAGTTTTGTGCAGTTGCCTTCTTGCAGTGTTGCTGTTGAGAAATCTGAATCCATTCATTGATTGTATGTGACCGGTATGTGACCAGTTTGGACTTATCTGGAAGCTTATAGAATCTTCTCTTTGCTTGTAGTGTTTTGCAGTTTTAAAGTGGTGTGGCCTTTTGTGAGTCTTTTTATCCACTGGGTATGTGGTGGGCACTTTCAATCTGTCAGTTGAGAACTCTTGAAGACTTCCTCTTCTCCTTTTCCCTGCTATATTTACCTTGTGCTATTATTTTATTGAACACTAGACTTCCTATTTTGGTCTTCCGATTTTCTTATCTTTTTTCTCCAGTTTTCCTCTTTGTCTTTGTTCTTCTTTGGGATATAAGTGTGTGTGTGTGTGTGTCTGTGTGTGTGTGAGAGAGATGTGAGTATATGTGGTGTTCCTCGATTTTTCTAGAAGATTTCTTTATCTTAGTTTTCCAGCCTTACTATTTAACTTTTCTGCTATCATATTTTTATTTTCTAAGAACTCTTTTGTTCTTAGAATCTTCCTCCTTAAAAAAGTACTAAAATCCTGTTTTTGTTTCATGGATGTAATAATTTTTTCTCTTTTTCTGAGCATATTAATGATACTTGTGTGTGTGTGTGTGTGTGTGGTTTTTTCCCCCCTCTGTGCATAATTTCTTCTAAGTTGCTTCTTCCTAGGATTTATTTTGGTCTCTTCCATCCTCAGATTGTTCATAATTTTCTGATCCCAATTAACATTATTGGATTATACAGCTGATTGGAAGCTCTGAGCAAGTGGGTAGGCTTTATCAATTTTGAGCTTAACCACTAGGTAATTTTCGTAACTTATTTTGTTGGACATCACTGATGGCATTATTTTTAGTCCTTCTTCTTGAGCTGGTCAGATAGCCCAGAGGCCTTTGTTGGTGTCCTGCTTGAAACATAAAGCTCTGACTGGTGTAGCCACTCGGCGTTTGATTTTCTGTATAGTAGTATCTCGGTTCACACCTGAGTACAGAACTGATGTCCACTAGTCCCAAGAACTTCGGTGTTACCTCCTTTGTAGACTAAACTTGTTAGTGGCTGAAGGGGACAGGTAGAGGTGATCTAGGGATCTGCTCTTTCCACAGCTGTCCAGCAGTTCTCTGCTGTAGCTACTCCCTTTTCCATTTTCAGTATCTTTTGGGGATTGTGATTATTGGTTCTTAGGATCACCATTTTGGTTTGGGATTGGACTTTCTTGGCTCTGTTAACAGCAGTTATCACTTGTCCATTTGCTTTCCTGCTTCCAAATTGTGTTTGTTGTTTCTGCTAATTTCTCTATCCTTGTGAGTTTAATGTTTTAAAAAATATTTCTTTAGCAGATTTTTTTCTAAAGATTTTATTTATTCATGAGAGACTGAGAGAGAAAGGCAGACACACAGGCAGAGGGAGAAGCAGGCTCCATGCAGGGAGCCCGACATGGGACCCGATCCTGGGTCTCCAGGATCAGGCCCTGGGCTCAAGGTGGCACTAAACCACTGAGCCACCCGAGCTGCCCTCCTTTAGCAGTTTTTTTTTTTTTTTTTTTTAAATTTTTATTTATTTATGATAGTCACACAGAATGAGAGAGAGAGGCAGAGACACAGGCAGAGGGAGAAGCAGGCTCCATGCACAGGGAGCCCGACGTGGGATTCGATCCCGGGTCTCCAGGATCGCGCCCTGGGCCAAAGGCAGGCGCTAAACCGCTGCGCCACCCAGGGATCCCTCCTTTAGCAGTTTTAAGAGGCTTTCAGGAGGGACCAAAATGAGATGTTTGGATTTAGTCTGTTACCTTAATTCAAAAGCTGATAAGAGAAAGAGTATATGAAGTTTTAAAATGTATATTTTGCATCTTTTGATTTGGATCAGTTCTTTTTTAAAATTTGTGTCACTTTTTTATTGCCCTCCCACTTCCCAAATACCTGGTCATGGTGTTTATTGTGCCGTCTTTTTGACCTCTTGCTAAGGAGATGGTAGCATGGAAGCTTTTGTTGGCAAGGTCATTAGAATTGGTGAGATAACTGTAACCATGTATTGGTTTGAAGGATAATGCTGTGTTTAATTTTAAGTGAAAAGTCAGTGACACTATCCATCAGGGAGCCTGATGCTTGTATTTCTCAGACATTCAGCAGTCAACAGGCCATATTCATACTTGGTCTCAAATGCCCTCTTGAAAGGGCTCAGAGTCCTTGGGATGGCTGTGAACAAATTAGGAAGTAAGTTAAATTTATTCTGTGCTCCAATTTTTCCTTCCTCTACTTCTCTTCCCTATCCCACCCTTCCTCATCCATTTATTTATTTATTTATTTATTTATTTATTTATTTATTTATTTTCCCCCCTCATTCTTTTTTTTTCCCCCCGCATCCTTTTAGATGTTCATTCTCCCTGCTTCTCACTTCTTTTTCTGTCCTGCCCTTTTGGGCCAGAAGGATACCAAAGGTGCTTTGTCCAAATATTGTAGGCCTTGACATCTGTAAGATTTATTACAATATAACTCTAAGATCTAGGCTTAGGTTTTAGGGACCCAAAGGTGGAACTACTAGTAGGTGATGAATAGCCAGCAACATTTACTGAGCACTCAATATATGCCTCATAGTGTTCTAAGCATTTTATGTTTTTTTCATTAATTCTCGCAACAACCCAATAATGTAAGTATTATTATTTTTTGTAGGTATTATTTTTGTGTTCATTTTTTAAATGAAGAGAGACTAAAGCTCAGACAGGTTAAATAACTTGCCCAAGACACTGGCTATTAGTAAGTGGGACCTAGAGTTTTTTCTCAGAAGCTGTTTAGAAGAATATTTTCAGTAACTAATTTTATACTGTAGTCTAGTTTCCAGGGCATCATCTGGAGATGTCTGCAACTTGCATCGTTTTAGTTGTTAAAATCAATGTTTGTGACTGGGGTTCGGGGTGTGTGGAGATAGTATAATGACTTTTGCTGTGCCTGGACTGGGTATTTCTGAGATCTTTAGAAATTTCAGACAAAGGCATTTTTTGAAAATATTAGTGGCATTCCAAAAAAAGTTCTATACCGTGATAAATCAGTATTCATATTTAAAACAATGCTTAGGCAAGTAGGAGAGAAAACTCTTTAAACGTAGATAAGTGTGTGTGAACCTTTGTAATTATATGAGTCAAAGGACTTAAGAAGTTACCTTTGAAGCCCTGTGGATGGATTTTTGATACATTATTGATGAAATATTTTATAAATTGAACAGTAAAATTCCTAAAGTTCTGTATTTGGCAATACAACTATTCATTTAATTTAGTTTCTTTGAAAGCTTTACCCATAGTCCCTGAAATTGCCTTTAAAAAAAAATACATATTTTTTAAATTAAGTAAGCTCTGTGCCCAATGTGGGGCTTGAACTCATGACCCTAGGATGAAGAGTTGCATGCTGTACCTATTGAGCCAGTCAGTTGCCCCTGAAATTGCCATTCTTTTTTTTTTTTTTAATTTTTATTTCTTTATGATAGAGAGAGAGAGAGAGAGAGGCAGAGACATAGGCAGAGGGAGAAGCAGGCTCCATGTACCAGGAGCCCGACGTGGGATTTGATCCTGGGTCTCCAGGATCGCGCCCTGGGCCAAAGGCAGGCGCCAAACCGCTGCGCCACCCAGGGATCCCTGAAATTGCCATTCTTGATGCATAATAAAGTACACCAAGTTTAGTGAAGATCTGAGACAAATAAGGATGCCTTTTTTCATGTTGTGATTTTTGACTATTTTTCTTACAAAGTCAAATACAAAACTTTAAATATCATTGTTAGTGGTAATTAAGTGTTCCTTGTCGATAATTTGATAGATCAGAAAGATTTAAATCTTTTTAAAAGTTAAATTACTAACAATTTCAGTTTGTTGCCCTCTTGTGGTAGATTACATGTGGACTCCTGGTGAAACTCTTGAAGTTA